TTGTAGCCCAGGCTGGCCTTGAATTTGCAGTGATCTTCCTGTCTCAGCCTCCTGAGCGCTGGGATTACAGGCATGTGCTACTACACCCGGCCCCCACATTGCATTTTTTTTTAACTTACTTGTATTCAAAGTACAAATAGTTTGTGAAAGGGGGGAAGGTAAGTGTTAAGAAGGAGCACACACTTTTGCTCAACCCCTAATATGAAAATGACCTGCCTGAACCTGGGCACTAACAGCAGGCTACAGTTACAGAGAGGCAGGAGTTGCGGTGTTGGCAGGGCCTGCTCTTCCAATAGAGCACACCTGCAGAGACCCAGGAGACTTAGGGACACGACACAGCCACTGCACCACAGAGCGGGCTCCATACGTTCTCCTGAAACAGGGTCTCCAATACCCAAACACAGGGGCAGCCAGTCATTTGGAGTTTTCTGTAGCACTTAATTTACTTCGTGAGAAAGAATAACCTGGTTTAAGAGTTAAAAAAAAAAATCACAAGACACTGTATTTGTTAAGAGCTAGTTACCTGGATTCCAAGAAAATTGTTCCATGTTTCTTAAACACACTATTAGCAAAAGCACATAATTTGTGAATCTTTCCTTAATATCTAAAAAAAAAAATAAAAAGATGTATTTAGTGCATATAACTAAACTGGCAAACCATGATTAAATTACTACTCCATATATAAACATCTGCAAAAAAAATAAGCAGTCATTTCTCAGTACCTGTGAGGCTCTGGTTCTAGGACTCCATGGATCCAAAATCCATGTGGTCAAGCCTCTCATGTAAAATGTTATAGTGTTTGCAAATACCCACCGTTAATACTCTCATATACTTTACTCTTTAGATTATTTATAACACCCAATACAATGTAAATGCTACTTAAATAGTTATTATACTATATTGTCTATGGAATGCCAACTAGAAAAAAAGATCTATAAAGGTTCAGGAATTTTTTATTTTAGAATAGGAAAGTTGAAGGGGCTGGGGATTTAGCTCAGCGGCAAAGCGCCTGCCTGGCAAGCTCAAGGTCGTGAGTTCAGTTCCCAGTACCGGAGAAAAAAAAGAAAAAAAAAAAAAGAATAGGAAAGTTGACCAACACACACTCTCTCTCTTTCAATGGCAAGCTATTTATTTGTTTTGCCAATATATGTCTAGTGTGGAAATTCAAATTTTTTATGAACTTCAAAACACATTCAAATGGGCTGGGCATATAGCTCAGGGGTGCAGCGCTTGCTTTGCAAGCATGAGGGCCTGAGTTGATTCCCAGTACCCACAAAAAACAACAACAAAAAAAAACAAACCCAAAAGAAACACATTCAAACCATTAAACTGCTCCGAATGAATTATTAAATTTCTCTGAAAGTCTTTGGGGACATAGAACAACTTTTCATTTCACAGAAGAAAAAATATGAACAGTAAAGTATTAAGACTTTGGGTGACATAAAATCCTTCTGTCCCAGACTATTTCCAATTTGGCAACCAGTAGCTACCACTGGGAGAGTCCCTTAGCTATAAGAATACTGTTACAATAGCACGTAAGTTACATGCAGAATGTGGGGGCAAAATTAGATTTTACAATATTTCCTGTAAGTTAATAAACTTGTACTCTGAGACTGATCTGCATGAACTTAATGAAAGCAAGTAAGTTAATCTTTAGTAAAGACCAGTTTACACATTTCACTTTCTAAGTTTTTATTTTTTCCTAAGAGTCCAAAATACCGCCTAGTTGAGAGGCAGAGTGAAGTACACCTGCACCTATAGTGATGTGCACACACGTTTCCACGTCGTGCTGGGGGCTGCGGCCGGACACAATCGCTCACCAGCCGCCCATCTCCAAGGCGCTCCCAAACCTGGCTCCCTTTCCCACAAGGGACTCTGCTATTAGTACCACCACACTCACTCACACCATCAAGTGTTCTGAATTCCTATTTCAACTGAAGTCATTTGTGGGTCTTCCTTTGTTCCTCTTTTCCTATTTTCACTGGTTCCTGTGTTCTGTAGCAAAATGGTTTAGCCCTCTCATCCATGGGGAAACCTTCGCCTCTGCACATCGGCTGGCCTCCACACTGTCCTCTCAACTCCTTCCTTTTCCAGGTGGTTGCTGGGAACTTCCCAGGAAGTTCAGCTCCTATTTGGGTTGGGCTTGGACTGCACTTTCACTCCTTCAAAGCCCGGAGGGCACACACTGCTGCTCTGATCCTAAGGCCTGAGTTGTTCCTCCCATAGTACCACATTCTGGGGTTTAAACGAGCAGCCATGAGTCTCAAGCTACAATGCACGGATATGCCTCCTGCGAAGGCGCCGAGAATTGGAGGAGGCACATAATGGGTTTTTCCAGGGCACATATGTGGAGTAGTTCCAGATCACAGGTTCAGCTTATTTTGTGATTTCAAAGGGAATACAGGTAAAATAAGCCAAAAGTTTGCCCAAAGTTATTTCCATCAAAATTTGACACAAAATGCCACCTATAGTTAACTATGGATCTTAATTCACGGGATTAAGTTTCTCAACATACCTCGGAATTCTGTATAATTATTCACAAATCTGTCTCCATAGATGTGCTAAGTCCTTTCTAATCGCCATAAACAAAGCTAACAAAGAAATGTACTTAGTTTTGATTCTTCTACTAAGTATAGATAGATAGTACCAAATTGGCTCATTATGTAATTCATCTAGAATGATACTACTTTGAAAAATTAAGAACACTATATGAAATAAGCCAAAATAACACTTATGAGCTCTAATATAACAAAACAAAAACAAAGGCAGCATTAAAATTAATCATATCTGACTCTTGGACACATGGCAGCTGCCAGCAAAGAGAAAACCTGCAATCATTTCATTTCCAAGGATATAGACCAAGGGGAAAAAAGTTACTTACTAGGGGATATTTAAGACAAAACAGATTTTTGTAAAGTAGATTATTTTAAAATATGATACAGACTAATAAAAATAGATATTCTGGTAGGTAAATGCAATTTTATAATATGGATGTGAAGAAATGTAACATCACAGAAAGTATATTTTTATTTCAAGAATTCATTTTCATTTTAACTATGAAAATGAAATGTGATTGTTCTAAAAAGTTTTCTTGTTTATATAGCTTCATTTTCTTACATTTCCGTGTTTATGTAGCTATTTTGAAGCTAAGAGTTTACTTAAAATTTGAGTTTTATTAAAGCACAGCTCAAATTTTGAAAAGTTCTAATAAAACTTTCATTCCATAATGAAAAGAAGATACTTATATCATATCGCATCTTCAGTGCAGCAAGCACTTTAATTAGGACTGAACCTTCACATGGATTAAAAATGGTACCTTCTACCAAAATAGGCATGTTTTCCTTTTACTAAGGAAATGACAAACACTAGTGATGAACGCTTTTAAGGTATTTCTGATATTTGGAATACTAAACTCCCTTTCCCCTGCTAGATTACCACTAGTAGAGCCATTCTTTAACCAATTTACAGTTGCAGTTCAAGTGGGCAATGGGTGACATCTACTTCCAGCAACCTCAAACCTACTGCAGTATACAGGCTTGTGCTAAGAGGATTAAGTCTCTTGAAGGATCTTGCTGAATGCTGTTCAGATTACTAATTGATAAAAAACTATGTAAAAAATTTCATCTTAAGAATACAAATCAGAATTCCCTAGGTTTCACATTCAGCTGGTGCTTACATTAAAATGGAGTGCAAAGGGGGCTGGGGATTTAGCTCAGCGGCACAGCACCTGCCTGGCAAGTGCAAGGTTGTGAGTTCAATCCCCGGTACCGAAAAAAAAAAAAAAAAAAAAAATGGAGTGCAAAAAAGGATAACCTGTTAAAAATCTGGTTTTAACTAAATGCCACTTCACATGCCCTCAGGCAATCCCTCTAAAGAAACTGCAGTCAGCTAATACTGGAAGGACTAAAGTTACTCTAAAACTTCCAAACAAAACCTTGCACCTTAAACCAGCACAAAGTCTAGAACTGTGCGCTGCGCATTTGGTAGCTCAACTCTGGAGGGAGAAAGTGCGCGGGACAGTGAGGTGGGAGGCGCTGGCGGGCAGCTTCTCCAGGGTGGCCACGACAGCACGCAGGGGGCGAGAGACTCTGCTCCTCATCCCAACCCTAACGACAAGCACCACTGCAATGTTGCCAACACTGCCTATGGTTGATTTTTTTTCTTTAGTTGGGAATTGAATTGTAAAAGCTACCTTAGGGTGACATAAACTTCTTGTAAAACTTTAAGGGTACAATGCAGATGACAACTTTGCACTGTGACATAAACAATTTTACTTGAAGAAAAAAAGCAAAACTCGTCGATGCTTTATTAACCATTTTAAGCCAAAATACTGAATTTCTTGTGGGCTGATGTGCATACCTGATCAATAAACATGTTTGTTTTTGTTTTTTTCAGAATCTTCCTAAAACTAAGTTATTAAACACAAAATCTCTCTAAACTAAAAGGTTGTAACTTGGAGGACCTATTTATAAAAGAAAAAAAAGAGATATTAATTACATCAACATGGTGATGATAAGGTTAAAAACCACACCTTACAATTTTAAGGGTTTCAATACAAAGACTGAAAACTCTCAACATTTGAAATTTACATGCCTAGTTTAGACCTACACAAAGGCTATCTCCTCAAAGCAGGTCATTAATATAAATTAATGAAAATAATTTTGGCAATGATGAAATTCTTACAGCTGAATCAATGTATTTTTATGGTTAATAACTACTGAAGTTGTCATCAAAATACTTCCTTTGAGCTCCCTTCCCTCTTCCCTCCCCTCCTCTCACATTCCAAATTCACTCACTGGGTCCCATGCATGAGGAAAGCGGTGTCCGCACAGAAAGACAGCACAAACTGCCTTTCAGCACTGGAGATCTGGGCCTGTCACGGTTCACAGAACCACCTAGCCAGTGGAGGCGAACCTAACACACGCGCTGTGGCGGGCACGCAGCGCCCTCTGTCTGCACGTGAGCCAAGTGTTCGAGTTGTTCTAAACTGAAACCTCAGTATTCAGGTTTAATTGCAGCGTTGGCACCTTGTGATAAGTAAGTGGGTTCTGAGTCGCAATTTGGGCACTCGATCTCTAAAAGGTTTGCTATCATTGTCCTAGACTTTATTCTTACTTGTCAATCTTTTTTAAAAAATTTTTTGCCTGGTTTTTAAATTTCCTATAGTTCTAAACATTTGCTTGCATTAATATATCATTATTTTCCTTTTCAAATAGAGAAATAAGAGTTACATATAATGAAATGTATCAGTCTTAAGTACACAATTTGGTGAGTTTTGGTAAATGCTTACCTGGGCTGCCAATCCCCCAATTAAAACAGATGAGTTCTAACACTATCTTAAATCTTTTGGTGGTGTTGCATGCCTTTTCATCTTCTTAATATTTTTAATGAGTATAAATTCTTAATTTTGAAGTTCAACTTATTTCTTCTTATGGTTAGTTTTTTCTGAGTGGTCTCTAAACACGTTTTCCTCAGCCGGGTGTGGTGGCATACACCTGTACTCCCAGCACTGGGGAGGCTGGGGTGGGAGGACGACTTAAAGGTCCAGGCCAGCCTGGGCAACATAGTGAGTTTAAGGCCAGCCTGAGCTACATAGTAAGACCCAATCTTAAATCCTTCCCCTGCAAAAAACTTCTCCTATCCAAAGGTTGTAAATATATTCTCCTGTATTTTTTTCTAAAAGTTTTATAATTTAGCATTTATGTTTATGGTAATGAACCACTTTTAATTAATTTTTTGGGAGAGGGTGAGGTCAAATTTCTTTTTTGGGTAATCTTTATCCAGATGCTTCAGCACTACTAGCTGGAAAATCTCTTCTGACTAAATATTACTTTATTTTAGAAAATAACAATTATTTTTGATCACAATGTTATTTAGCTTTATGTTTATGGCAAGAACCACTTTGAATTAATTTTAAATAGAGCTGCAAGTAGAATTTAATTGTACATACCACTATTGGACATCTGAAAGAGATTGTTCTTTTCAAACTTCTTGAATACACTTCCCTTAATTTCAACAAACTGAAACAGTAAACAGAAATATCAAATTTATCATTGCAACAGTTTTAAAAATTGACTGGCTATATATAAAATTACCTGGAGAATAACTGACATACAGAATAAAAATTCTCATCTCTACCATAGTATTATTGTTGAAGCAGTTTTATAACCTAAAATGTACAATAAAATCTCATACTTACATTATTAGACATCATGATAGTAAGCAGTGACTTGTTGTGCGAGTTAAAAGCTACATTGAGAGTTGTTGCTTGAACCATTATGAGAATTGCATGCAAAACTAAAAGTCTGTCAAGGAAAAAACTTATATTTGTTTTCATACTATTAATGGGCAATACTATAAAATTCTAAAAACAAATAATAGGAAAAGTGACTGTATTTTCTAAATCAAATTTTACGTATTTTACTATGTTTATAATTTCCAAGTTAGCTATCGTTGACACAGATTTGATAGAATAAAACGGGGTTATTTTGCTCTTTCTGTATCTTGGGCACTTAGCACAGTGCTTGGGAAACAGGCCTCAAAAAAGTTTGTTAAAAAATAAACTATGGTAAATACTGAAAGAGAAGACTTTGGAATATGTATTCTGAATTGAGATAGTTTCAACTTTACAAAAACACAACATAAAAGTTAGTCTGGAAGTTATTTTCTTCTCTAGTTCTTCAGGGAACGTGGAAAGTTAAAGACAGTCAAAATGTCTGAAAATTAAGGTTCTTTATATGTCTTGCAGAGCTATTTACATCTGGGATGGTTAATTTATACCTCAGAATGGTAACTGTTTTACTCTACTACTTCCAGAACAAGCTTCTGCTCTTGTAGATACTTTCCCACTTAGTTCCTTAACTTTTGAGTCCTGATTCCATACGGAACTTAACAGTAGGTATGCATGTTTGTGTAAATATGTATATGCGGTAAACACATAAAGCTATATGAATTCTCTGAAAGAAAAGCTTTAATCCAAGGGTAGTCAATGTATACAAAACTAATAAAGAGTTCATACATATAAAAATAACTTCAACAGGAATTCTAAGTATGGAAAAGGTCCACTGCTCTCTATCATGTAAAGTATGTACAAATACACTATCTTTTCATGACAGAATCCTTCCTTATAATAAGTTTCACCAAGAACAGTATGGTTTGCCAGCAGTTCCAAAGGTCACGCACATACAAGGCTTTTTAAACTCAATTACAATTTCTATTATGGTTTCTCAGAAGAAAGCAGATACTTCACATTAATCTTTAGGATGCACACATACACGCATACATTTTTAAACTTATGAAACAGATAACCAAGTAAAAGAAGGCAGACTACACACTGACTGCTGGGCTTTCTGGGAAGTCTAAAAGGATACACACATAGAGAACAGCCATGAAGAAGTGAGGAATCACCCCAATGTGGGCTCTCTTCCTTTCTTTAGGCTCTGTTGCTGTCCAGTAGAGAGCATCTAGTATGTCCTGTCCAAATGACGAAAACAGACGATCGGCCACCTACAGAGAGAGACACCGGGAAGATGTTACTTAACAGTCCATTTCAGCAAATGACTAAAACCGACACACCTTGAGCACTGGACCTCTGACTTCTAAATCACAGGATTAGACAAACTAAAAAAGGAAAAGGATTTTTGCTGACTTAATCGTTCCTATTTCAGATATTGGCAAAAGAGGTGGCAGTGGGCAGGCATATCAAAGTTGGGCCTCGGGGTGTAGCACTTTAAATTTAAATTCAGGATTCACACTCAAGTTCTTCAGGATAAATGTATCATTTGACTTACTCAATGCACACCTATTACTTATAAACAATGCACTGTTATTTGTTTGAAGTGTAGTATAATAGAAGATAATATGCAGATTTACTTTCTAAAGGCATTTCCGGGTATGATCTCCTTGAACTTCATGTAGCACAGGGGCATATAAGAAAAAGGACAGGAAGGCACCCTATTTATTCTTCAGGAGTCAGCTGGGACACCACCTTCTCAGAGAAGCCTTTCCCAGACCATTCCATCTCTTGTGATTCCCATGTTCTCTACTGCATTAACCAGTTCTATTCCCGCATAGTGTTTATCTTTTGTCATTTCTTAACATCTCCTTGTTTACTGTCTATCTCCCATGTGTGGAATACAAACTCAATGAGAGCAGGCTTGCTCACCTTTGGATCTTCAAAGCCTAAAGGCATGGCAAGCCTAAAGTGCCAATTAAGTGTGTGCTGCCTAGGAAACAGCGACCTCTACGGATGCTTTTGCCACGTGTCTGACATCGTGCTAAGTCCTTTGTTCCATAATCCTCACAGTCACCCTACTATCTCCACTTTACACGTGAACAATTGAGGACTATATAATTAGCGGCTATGTCTAGTGTAACCAGGTACTAAGAGAAGGAGCCAGGATTTGATCAGAGGTAGTCATCTCTAGACCTATAGTCTAGATTCTTAGCCACTATGCTTAAGCCACATTTTCAATCAGTCTGCGAAGCAATATCAACCATAACAACCAGCAATTCGTGGATCCTCTGGTTTATTTTCTAGTAACAACCATCACACCATGTTGGAGAGGGCTGTGAATAAGGAGACACACACACTGAGTACGGGAGAAGGCTTTGTGTCCTGCAGTCCTCTAGGAAAGAGGACAGTAAGGGAGCTCAGCAGGAGACAGGTCTGAGAGCAACGAATGCAACAGTGGCAGGAAAAGCGGCCAAGGTCGAGGTCCTTCTTTCTATGAGGAGGGGAGAGCTGGCTGTTTTGCTTGACAAACTTCTTTTACATTCACCCCTCAGCAAACTTCTTGACTGGGCAAAGCAAGGCACAGACAGCAAGCCTTGAGTCAGGAAGCTAGGGTGTAGTTTTAAAGCATCCTGGTCTTGAATTAGGAGGAACCAGGACAGCGTGGGCTTCTGTGACTTGAAGGGAAGCCCACCTCTGCACAGTGACGCAGCAGAAAGACCTGCTGCCCCACATCACCCTGCCTGTCCAGTTAACTAGGAAAATAATCTCTTCCCAGGTAATCTGAATGATAGACCTTACAAACAGTAATGAAATAGTTCCTAAAAAAGTAGTACAGATGGGGTGGAGACGTAGCTCTGTGGAAGAGCACTTTTCTTCCCTTTGAGAGGCCCTGGGTTCGATTTCTAGCACAGCAAAAGACACAAAAAGTTATAAAAAAGTGCAACTTGAACGTCAAAGTTTATTACATAAATCTAGGGTAGTTTTCTATTTAAAAAAATACTAAGATTCTGCCTTTCAGGCAGAGTACCTTCCTATAAAGTGAACACTTAACTGCTCAATTTAGTTTTTGCGTAAATGCCTATTTTCACATGCTAACTGCTTTAAAAGAAAATATATTTTTATATAAAAATGTTAAATTATTGGACAAACTGGGAAACTAAAATTTTCAATTAATTTAAAATGTAAATCTATTATAGCAATATATTATAGTATATACATATACACATAGATATAAAATCCTAACATTTACATCATATCTCTAGCATTCTAGCAAAAAGTGCACATGGATTTCCAATGAACTTGCAAAACAAATTTCTTAGCCTTTGACAGTGTACATTCTCTAGGTAGTACTAATTCAACAACATCCAAGCAGCACATCTCTTCCCTGTGTACTGCAGGAGACATGATCCCCAGGGCCTGCTCCCGAAGTCCCAAGGCCAGCAGCCCTGCAGTCCCCCAGGAGAAGCACAGATTCTCCAGGGCCGCCCCCGGCCCACCACATCAGAACCTGCACTGTAACAGGATCCCCAAGTGACCAACCCGTATTAAAGACCAGAAACACCTTTATTTGAGTTGGGAGAAAAATATTTCACACTCTCAGGTACTTTCTACACCGGAAGACATGAAGTTGTGCTTACTGGCCAAGTCTGTGCATTATGGGTAGTAATGAAGGACTTACCTCGAGCATGTTGTAGATGATGTAGAGCTTGATGACAGACTGCCCCCTTATCAGGTGATACATCATGGAGTAGTCAACATAGTGCATCATGAAATAGGAAATTACCAATATGACACCCTTCAAAATGTCACACACCTGGGCAGGTTGAAGAAAACGTCTGTCCCTGAAACATATAAAAAGTAATGAAAATGTGAGTTTCACATTATGTTTTCAATCCTAAAAAAAAAAAAAAATTAGTACTCCTGATTGGACATTCACTAGCAAAGGTAATAAGAAGCAGGTGGACCTTTAAAACCTTCGAACTAGGCAGCCATACTAAATGATTCTTCTGCCAAGTATAGAATATAAAGATGAGAAATCAGAATTGTGATTAGAAGCTGGGAGTTGTAGAGGAAAACACAGGGCAGGCATCTGCTGATGGAGTGCGTTAAAGCAAAAGCTTTCTGTGATGATGACATAAGCCTTTAACCTGCTCTTGAAGCCCTACAACCCAATGGATGGGCACGTTTTGCACAATGTTAGCATTCAATAGATAATGTTCTGCACTTTGTATTTTTAACATAGTGGGGCACATTGGCTTATAAGGAAATTGTATTTTTAGGGCAGCATAGTTATCCTCATGTGGATGTACTGTAATTCATTTAACATACTCTTGACTGAACTCCAGCCTTTTGCAACTGTAACCGATAGCACAATTTTTGTGTCATGTCTCAGAAATGAGAATATATCTACAGGATAAATGCCTAAAATTGGAATTTCAAGGTTATATTCGCTTGACGTTTTTGTTTTGCTTCGTCTTTTTGAGACAGGGTCTCACTATGTAGTGCAGGCTGGCCTTGAACTCACAGAGATTCTCCTGCTTCACCCCTCTAAGTGCTAGTTTTACAGGAATGTGCCACCACACATATTGATATTTTGAAAAAACAGCTGGTAGATCCTCTGTAGGGGCTGTACCGATTACATTTCTGCCAGCAATGGGCTGAGAAACAGTGTGTGGTCAACTTCTGGATCTTGGTCAATCTCCAGCTGGTATGTAGTATAGTGCCACAATGTTAATTTCTCTCTTTAGGAGACTGAATATCTTTTTTTATATATAAGAGCTGAATTCTCTCCTGCTATCTTTTTGTACTGGCTTATAAGGCAACTTTTAAAAAGTTAGTTCTCTGTGACATGAACTGAAATTTTTTTCAGAATATGAAAAGAATTGTTACGTTCAGGTCAGAGTATGAAAAACTAAACCTGAATAGTGGAAGGAACATCTTAATAAAACAGAACAAAAAATATACTAGGAAAGAAGAAATTGAGGATTTTTTTTACTGGATATAAAATTCCTGGAGCACAAATGGAAAGATGATTTGTCTGTCTACTGCAGGCCCCCTCCTTAAGACAGAAGAGGCACTGACTTGTTTTGGCAGTTTTGTCATGTAGAGCAACCAATTTTAAAAAAGCTGACGTATTTCCTTTAAGAGCAGCAGACCTCTTCTCTCACCAATCGTGACAAGATTTGATGAACACTGTAAGGAGTGAGCTCACTTGCTACTCAGCCACTGGCCTTCAAGCCATGCACTTATTACTGTGCATCCCATGGCTCCTTAAGCGCTGCAGTGCCTTTGTGACTGGTGTCCACACTTAGACAGAGATGCTTTCATTCAGAGATCAGCAAAGAATGTGCAGTCTTCCAAGCTGCTATCTGAAACACAGCTTTCGGGGGCAGTGACCACGCACTACTAAGTCTGTGAGCAGCTGTGACAGAACCACCTCCCTCATTTCCACAATGCAAACTGAAGCTAGCAATGAATGACAGACAGAACATGAGATCTTGCAAGTCCTGAAGAGAGAAAAACCAGGAAGAGCCAGAAGTAGCAGCAGAGATACCGGACTGATCCAATGGGCCTAACTGGGACACAGGTCAGTCTCTGTCTCAGCCAGATCACACGTCTTGACACTACAGCTGGAAGCCAGCTGTGAAGGAAGCGCACCAAGGACTCAGTAGATCAATCTCTATCATTCTTTGTCACCCCGACTTTCTTTTCTTCAGTGCTGTCCCTCCCCCTGAGAGTCTGGCCCCCTTCTCCTCATGGCACCCAGAGTGAATGTCATCGTCCATCTCCCACACCCAGCCCAGAGCACAGATCCCTGCCAAGGGCTACCTGCCCTTCCAGGTTATTTCTGTCCCCACTCACACAGGACTGAGACTAGAAGAGCTATTCTTTCTGTCAAGAGTAAACACATTACCAACTCGAACCCGGAGAGGAGGAGACATTTTGAACACTCCTGAGCCCTTGGCTCAAGCGTGGCTGTCTCCCGTCCAATAGCCAGGAACAAACTGTGAGGCAGCAGAGCGGCTCATACACCTCCCCTCCTTCCTCAGAAGTATGGGTGCTGCGCTGCTCCACAGACCCATGGGCACAGCTCCGCACAGAATGAAAATCACATAGCACCAACAGGTGGGCATTGGAATTTAAGAACTACAGGTCATATTTTATGATTAAAAACAAAATAGGAACTAAAAGCATGGCAGTATTAAGTCGCATTAACTGCCAAAATGATTTTGACAAAGTAGAAAACTATACAAAGTTTCTGGTATTCTACTGATGTCTATTTAGTGAAGTGACCTAACAGTAATTTTATTTAAGAGGTAAGGGGGTCTCTTTATAAACATTGCAACAAAGGAACAATCTGTTAGTATAGTGTACAGCGATGAAGAAAGACTATATTTAGTAAAAGTCATTGGTAGAAGTCAGATCTACCAAACACCAGAAATACATAACACCACAATTTCTGAACCAAGATGGTAAGTCAAAATTTAAAAATTAAGAGTAAACAACTTTAGTTTTATCTTACCTAGCATTAAACAAGGTTGAAAAACAAAAGGTGTAGAAACACCTCATGCAGTAACTCAGTTGCCATGTGTCAGGTATGGCAAATACATTCAGTCATTGAGAATGACCTATAAAGACGGTGCTACCACCATCCCAACTGTACACAGAAGGCCTAAGCACATGCCAGTGGCTCCGCAGTTCCTGAGTTACCTGTGGTGGAGCAGGACCAGAACCTGGGCCACCTGGCTCAGCAGATGTGCTCTTCATGACCATCTATATTCAAAATTTCTTTTTTAATTGTTCAGAATTACATTTTTTATGAAAAAATAACATTTCATAATCAAATACTAAGAGAATAAAAATAGTTAATACACTGTGTACCATAATCTTAGAGAAAGTTAATCAGAGTACAAGACACAGACAAAAAAAGAGCTTCTGAACTTACTGAATTAACTCAGTGCCTATCCTTGAGCAACATTTAAAACTACATAATTTATCATTTGGAAACACTGCTATAAAACAAATATGTCTTTCACTTTATCCTTTATTTGATATGTATATATATATATATTCACATATATAAATACCTATGATTATATATATTCCTTGGATCCTTTGCTATCATAGTACTCCTATCTCTGGTAAAAATCTTTTATTACTGACAACAGAACTGGTTGCTACAGAGATGATGATTTTCAAAATGAAGAAACAGTATTCAAATAAAGAACAAAATAAATAGTACCTTTTAGAAACAAGGATTTTGTTTTTATATAAATGTTACCGTTAAATGAAAAGAAGTTAGAAAAAAAAATCTTAAAAATGTTTTTAAGGTGGTATAGTGCAAGATGCCAACACACATCATAGCCTCTGTAAGAAAAGACCTAGCCTCACACATCGCTGTGCCTAATTTAAACAGCTTGAAGCAGTAACAGTATTCCTCTTTCCTCTTCTGCCATGTTATTTTTTGGATAACTATCTGGCAGGCATTTCAAACGCCCTAGGAAGCTTATCTATGGCCCTGCCAATCAGCCTGGAATCAGCTTCTGAATAATATTTGCAGTCTAAAGTTTTTTGTTATAAACAGCTGTTACATGGTAGTTACTGGCAATTTCTTTTGCGAATGTCAAAAATCCCGAGTGAAACATGTTGGGCAAAATGAAAAACACAGTAGTCTAATTTATAGATCTGTCTGTGTTTCACAGCAAGTCAAGTAATATTAAATAAAATATTCAACAGAATTTAAATATTTTAAGTTAAACCACTATTACACAAACCAAATTATGTACTTTCTTAAATTTTACCTTTCATTCCTATAAACACTTCCACTACATTTTTAACAAGTACAATTTACAATTTTTACATTGCAAAATTTACCATTTTATTGTCTTTTTTTTTGGTACCAGGAATCGAACTCAGGACCTTGTGCCTGTCAGGCAGGTGCTTGTGCCGCTAAGCTATATTCCCAGCCCTAAATTTACCATTTTAAAGCCTCTCTAAAGGGCTCATAGATTTATGGGAACAAAATTACATTGTAGAGAAGATGATCAAGGGTGGGCGTTTCCCTTCCCTTCTTCAGCAGTGCACTATTAAAGTGTAATTAAAATGAGAATGGACAGAGAAAGAGGCAGCAACAGTAATGAACAAGAGATGGGAGAATCCGCCATGGTTAGTTTCAAATCAGTATTGAAACAGGCCTGGCTATCAGCATGAATGATTCCATTAAAAATACAGACTGGATCTGAACTTCTTAGCACTCTGAAATATTTGTAGTATAGTTGAAAGAGTAAAGAAATACAGCACAATTGAAATAAAAAACATAAAATATTTAACACAGTTCACCTTTATGAAAGAGAAGTCCCTATAATTTTTAAGTGAACTGCAATGAAGTAGTAAGACCAAGATGTCTTCCTTAACTAGGAAACTAAACACTTTCAATACTAAGTTTGGCTGATGTACCAAATAATTTCTAACTACAGTGCATGGGAAAAATGTAATGGGTTTTATAAAGCTAGGTTTAGTATTTGGAGTAATGCAAAATAAAAAGTGCTTATGTGGAAGCAACTAAGCTCAGCCAACCGCTGTGGTGTTGAGGATGAAGTACCTGCTGCTAACTACAGACCAACATGTATAATTAAAGATCATTTTCCTGGGTAATTTTCATGTTAGGTGAAGTCACGGTCAAATGCTTCATAAACAAACATGGACAAAACTTCAAGCCTAGGTAAGGATGCTATTGAAGGACAGAAACCATATTTTCTTCAGTATGTTTCCACCCCCAAGTGGTTAGGTTACACTAAGTAAGGATGCTGGTAAAGGACAGAAATCTATTTTCTTCAGTATG